AAATGTTATAACAAAAGTAAAAGCATATTATATATATAGTGTTATTACAAAGTCACAATATTTGTACTGTTAGAAATTGAAATTAAATTTTGATATAAAATTATAAACTTTTAACATAGCCTGATTAAATTTAATTTAATGTTGAAAATTATATGTAATAATTATTTGGTTAAATTTTATTTTAAGAAACTACAAATTATTCACTGTTTTTGGTAATCTGGCATATTTCGATGAATGTAGCCGAAAGTACAAATTTTATCTTAAAAATTCACAATACGACCGCAAATCTAACAGTTATTGATTTGAATTTTTACCTGAGAAGTTCTTGATGATACTTCTTTCACAGATGAAGTATCCTTCGTTCAGCCTTCCACTTAAAAATCAATCGTGAAAAATATCGATTATGTTCGAGAATCGTAGAAAGTATATTCTGCATTTCATACAATACACTGGCACTGCACTTTTTAACTAAATCCAATATGCGTGCATTTCGCACGAAATGTTATCTGGGAATAAAAAATAAAATAGAACTCTGATCTAAAAGGACATAAAATCCCATAATGAATATGAAAGAAATGAAAAATTTCCTAAAGAGCATAAAACATTAAATTTGTGTTTCTAAAGACACAAGGATATTCGTGAAAATTTAAGTTTTAACAATGATAAAAACCATAACTCTAATAATTTAAACTGATTCTATTTTGTAGTAATTTTAGAGTACATTTCAATGGAAAGCAAACTATAAAGAATACAATGTGAAGAAGAATACTTACATTCTTAGCTTTTCAAACACTATAAGATTCTTAGAAGATAAGAGCAATGAATATTATAGAAAATTTGTAAACAAAACAAAACAATTTAGAAGCAACCCAAGTTTAAAGGAATTTATCCTCAGAGATTTTCCTATGAATCGAGAACCGATAAAAGTGAAAGAAGGTAACTTACCATCTATTGAATATACGAGGACATTGACTAAGTCAGTCATTCTTACAATGTTATAACATAAGTGTAAAGTTATAACTTTGGTTAGAATTGAATCCTAGCAAATTTTGATGAATTCAAACTAAAAATACAAGTTTTAATTTAAAAATTTACACAAACACAAACAAAAATCTAATAATTGACTTAAATTTTTACCTGATAACCAATGAATGATACTTCTTTCTGGATGATTCTTCTGAATAATAATTTCTTCTCTACAGAGACGAGATGTGCTTCCTTCCGCCATTCCTCCCACTGAAAAATCGATCGTGAAAAATATCGATTACGTTCGAGAATCGTAGGAAGTATATTGCCTATTTCACTGTTGGCGTTGTAATCTTTAACTAACCTAAATCCAGTACGCGCGCGAAAGTTAACTCGAAGCAAGAAATTAAAAAATTCTGAATCAAACACAGATAAATCTTATTAATTTAATAAATATAATAAAATATAATATAATATAATATAAATTATGAAGTAACTTACGAATATAACATAACAAAATAGTGCTTCTTTACAACTGAATGTGATTTTATTCTTCAAATTAACTTCTACTGTATCTTACGAAATTTCTGCAATATAAGCACTGTTTGGAACTATCGTTAACTTCTTCATTATAAGAAAAATGTTCTTTCTCTGTTATTTTTTATAACTAACAATAAGTTGAATACAACAATAAACTGGAATAATAACTTTTATGTTCACTTCAAGTCTCGTCCGTGAAAAAGTAAAGAAATACTTTTATTTTTTCCAGGTCGATAATTATGTGCTATAATGGCGCTACGGTTTAAGTGGCGCCACAGGCGAGTCACGGACAAATCATCATTTTACGTTACCACTGCATGATAAATTCGATTTTACCTACCGTTAATATAATTTGAAACTAGGTTCCTTGTGTATTCACGAGTTATCTATGCAGAATTCCTGAGAATAAAATTCCTCGTAAGTTATCAATGAGTCTTGCGTTGGTTCCGATCCAATGAAAAATGAATGATATTTTTTCCAAAACCATTATCTGTTCGTAGTAATATACATCCACATTTGCTGGTTATAGGCGCAAGCCTGGGTACAGTAATAGCGGCTCGACGACCCATGAAGCTCTACACTATAATGTAGATCACTACACTATGATGTAAATCACTAAAAAATTAACAAATTTATTATTGTTATTGTCGATTAAATTATAAAATCAGAGCACACATATCAAATACTAAAAGCTTAGAGAGTGACTAGAAAATCGACCGATAAGGTTTTCACGTGCGGAATAATTTAATTTCTACTTCTATTGATTTCAATACTGTGCTGGGATAAATTAAATCAACAAATTCAATAGTATATTTTACTGCAAAGATTTATAAACTTGTACTAGATAATATCTTAGATTTAAAATTTATAGTAGTATTACAATTGTGTTGCTCTGTTTGCTGAAGCAATATTACCTGCAAAAGATGGAGCAATCGAATATCCAATGTAAATATCTGTATCGTGCACATACCAGCTAACTATTCCCTATAATTTTTACTGCTGTGTTACTCGAGAAATTAAAAAAATTACGAAACGCTGAATTTTTTATCTGGGAAACTATAACTCAGATACGGTGCGTGCGATGTACAGTGGCATTACCAGTGAATAATTAATAAAGATAATTTACCGCTATTCTTCTTTTTCATTTCCGTCAGATAGAAAGTAGTTTTCCTTCGTTCCCGTGTTTCTGCGGAATATTCAGTGTAGCAAACATGTTCAACATGAACAGTCGTCAAATACTTTACATAGTGGAACTGTTTGGAACATTCGCGTGCACTTGGCCATCTGATCCGAATAGTAGTAAGAAACAAATTATTTTTCGCAATGTACGATGGTTGTTCGCGATGTTGAATTTGACTTTATTGATGATATCCTTGACACTTGCTATATATTACTTTCGACGTGATGTATTTATATTAATGAAAAGTATCTCTGAGATGACTTCTGTGATCGAGGCAATCCTCGATTTAATTCTTTGTCGACTGAATAACGACCAACTGCAGGTTACTTAGATTTGAAACGATAAAGATTCCACAGTAAAACGATCAAAGAGTTTGTCGTTTTTTTTTTTGTTTGTTCTTTAATCTATCCAGGTCCTCGTAGGAAAAGTGAAAACGTTTATAGAAGTGGCCAATGAACATGAAATTAAAGCAATGGAAAGATACATGGATCGTTACAAACAATTTCTTTCAATAACCGCATCGGCGATTATCATATGTACGATCTTGTTCAGTTTAACGCCTTTCCTTTCCGCCCAAGAATTACCACTGGATGGATGGCTTCCATTTTCCATCGAATCGCCTGGAATATATTGCATAATCTACATTAATCACGTTTACTGTATTTATCTAATGGCATTCTGCATCAGTATAGACTTCATGATCGTCATTCTGTTCAGTTACTCTGCGGCCAAATTAAACATATTAAAAGAGAAACTTCGACACGTGAACGATTTCGATGTACTGGTAAGCTGTATCAAGGAACACCAAGAAATAATAGAGTAAGATAAATCTCTCTTCTATTTAAATATAGTCACAAGTAGATTCATTTAATAATCTTCACTAGTAGGAAACAATTTAAATGAGATATTCTTGTATATGATCTGAGCATTTGAACAGCAAACTATGTATGGCATAGTGAAATATACGGGATATCTTATGACTCGTGGAAAACCGATTGGGAAGTGATTGCAAATGAGTCGAAAAGAAAAAATAGAATTTTGTCCGAGGCCTCGTTCTCAAAAAGACATTGAACATTTCTTAAGTGTAGTATATTTGAACTGAATACTTAAACGAGCGGCTGTAATTACCATAATAATTACAGTAGTAGATCTATAGTATTACAGATTGCAAAAATGTAATGCCGGTCGTTAAGCGATAGACAAGAAACATTTTAACATAGCCAGTCATTTAAATATTGAATTAATTAAATTAATCAAATATTTAATTAATTAATTAAAACTGAAAGGAGTGAAAAATCGGCAAAAGATTATTCTACGTGAAAAAAAAAAAAAATGTAGAACATAATGTTTCCATAAAATACATGGCAATTTTTTTGAAGAAATATATTTAATCTCTATTTTCTCGAAAATAGAGCTTTCAACCAAAAAAATTTTATTCCACATTTTTTACTTACTTCTGCACATAGAATAATTCACTCTTGTCTAATGCAGAATTAGTCAAATTTTCAAACACGAAGTTTCGATTTTCTCGAAAACGAAGGCTCTAATGAAAAAATTTTATTCTTCCTTTTTTACTCATTTTGAAATGTAGAATATTTCGTCCAGTCAAATTGCGAAACTATATGTAAGAAAAGTAAATACTGAAATATTTAAACTTTAAGTACTATAGAGACTGCGACCAATTTTCATTCACTATTTCTATTTCTTATTTTTTATTTTTATTTTATTTTATTTTTATTTTATATTTTTTTTATACATTCTCTATTGTTTCAATTATGCATGGAATTTGATCTTTATTGGACATTTGCATCTGTGTAATAATGAAATAAATAATGTAATAATACTATAATTGTACAAGTTTCAATGTCTATAGTATTCAAAGATTAAGAGAACTAAAATACTTACTGTCTGTGTGCTTACAATGGCATCTACAAACAGTATAGAAGTAAAAAATATATTACTCTTACTCGTTCACTGTCACGCTTTATGATGTTACTTGTGAAGCTTTCATCCAATATTCATATCTATTTTAATGTGTTAGGTATGTAAGAAATTATTAATTCGACATTGCATACGTGAACTTCCGAATTAGAAGTATTCACGTGAGAATACTTTATGCATCCCCAGTAAAAAGTAACATTTATTGTCCACATTTAGTATATACGAATGCGTGTATGTTTTCTTTATTAAAAACAAAGAAATAACAGCAATGCATATAATACATATAGACACACGCAAATATTAACTTTGTTCCAGAGAATCTGAGAAAAAGTATTTGTAGTTGTAAAAATTATAATCTAATTATCAATCTGGTGAATTTCACGTGTATACTGCCGGGTTAATTAGACCCGTATTTCTTCCAAGTGTCTTCTAAGTCGCAAACAGGATATTTTTTCTCATAAATATACAAATGTTCGTGCCGCATGCCACTCTGTACAGTTGTTACACAATGCTAATTTATATGTTGCTGACAGATTGATTGTACTGGCATATTCAGTGGCATCATTTAAACTTCGTTAAATCGAAATCTGTACGTTAATATTTCTTGTTGCCACTTCGCGTCGATAAATATCTAGTAAACGAACAACATGGATCAAGTATTTTCCGAATTCTCCTTTTATGTAATTAATAGTCCATTGACTGCGTGGAATGAAAGCAATGCATCGTACTGCATTTATCATTTAAAGGTATAGAATAAGCAATGACTGAGAATAAGATGAATAAATTGAGACCGTGTCATGATTAGATTTGTGGAGGACACTAATACTACTATTGAGACTTTATTATTCAAAACGAACGCCACGATGGGAAGCGCAGTGATATGCGCGGGTTTCCCCTTGATTTATGTGAGTCTAATCTGCTCGACAGGTTTTACTTTCTGTGCCATTCATAATGTAGTTGCCATTCGTAATATACACTGGTTAATTTTAAATGGATATTTTTTTAATTTTAAATGATATTCAGAATCAATCAATGACCGTAATGGGCAAGTTTATTCTTTTGATGATATCTGGCTGCATCCGCATATACATCAACGCCTGGCCAGCAAATGATTTACAAGAATGTGTAAGCCAACCAATATTAATATCGTTAGAACATCTCATCTGGTGTGCGCTCTTTCTCTATATATCTTTTCTACAATAAAATACAGGGATTTAAAAAAAAGGCATAGAATAAAAAAGACAATTATTTCTTTGATCAAAATTTAGAAATTTGAATCAAAATTCTATTTCCAGAGTGTACAGTTCTCACAATCAATGATTGGTGTCCAGTGGGTAGGAAAGCCAAAAAAAATGAAAAGTACTTTGATTATCATGATGCAGAGAAGTCAGAAACCATTCGTCATTAAAATAGGTGGTCTGCTACCGTCTCTTACTTTGGAATATTTCGCAAACGTAAGCATGTTACTTTCAGAACTTCTCCTCAAAGATTAATATAATTATTCTGTACAATGATTTATAGTTCATAACTACAATATCGTCCTACTTCATGGCAATGAGAACTGTGATCGAATCGTAATTGTCCTAAAACATGTATACATTAAAATACTTAATAAATTTATTGTTTGAAGTTGAGATTCGTTTAATATGTTACTGTACAATAATATAGTATTAATAAAAGGTATTTGATTAGTAAAAGTAAAGAACTAAAAAAGAATGTATATCTTATTAATGTACAATGTAATATTTTATTAATTTCTCTAGCTTTTATCTTGTGAAATTAATTAGTTTATTTAAGTTTAAATATCAGAAGAAATTTTAAAAAAGAATATATACCATTTTATCAATTTCTCTACTTTTTATTTTGTGGAGTTAATCGATTTGGCAAATGAATGGCTCTGCTACTATTTTCCATCAGTTGCAGGTACGAGTAGATGGTATGCTTTTACTTTGATTTATGGCAGTAAGAATGTTAGACCGTGGAATTACAGAAAAGCACAAACATTAATCTATTGATCATTTTCATTACGAAAACAATTATTGTTAAGAGGATAAAGATAATATGTATTTGAAATGTAATATATTTCTAAACGATACATTTCGTTTTAACTAATCTGTTTTGTAGTTACATTAAAATGGTAAATTATTTTATGATTCTTTGTGCTGAAAGAGAAACTACACTTGATATGATTTTGTATTATGTTGAGTGTGATGAGAGAAATTAACAATACTTATACGGAATTGTAATTTAATTATCCGCACAACTTACTTGAATAGAATGTATCACTATTTGTGAAACTACGGTTCATAAACTGAAAGCCTTCCTCAAACCTAGCCAACTACTGACCCAGTCTTCTAAACATCTTTCGCAAACTGATGAAAAAAATCATATATCAACACTTCACAACACATCTCGACAAAAACAACATAATTGCACCACATCGATTTGGCTTCAGACGTAATCACTCATCAATCCACCAATTACAACGAGTTACAGAACACATCATAATAGAAAGAAATAAAAACCGGACCACTCAACTCTTGCTACTTGATATCCAAAAAGCCTTCGATTCCGTATGGCACACTGCTCTCATTAAAAACTACACTATATAAACACCCCCACTTCAATTTTAAACATAATCGCAAATTACTTATTTGATAAGAAATTCTTCGTATCGCTAAATGGCACCAAATCATTCACAAAAAACAGTTACTGCTGGAGTGTCCCAAGCATCCATTCTCGGCCCACTCTTATTCATTATGTATATCAACGACCTCCCAACATCACAAAACACACACACAGCAATCTATGCAGACGATACAGCAATTTATGCCTCCTCTTGGAGTCCGAACCAAGCTACGATATACCTACAAAATCATATTAACACTGTAATAGATTAATTAAAAAAAATGATTACCTTTAAGAGAAATTATACGCCAAATCACATTACAATAGAAGGGCAAAACATTCCATGGACTAACACATCCATCTTGGTGTCGTTCTTGATTCCAAAATTACCTGGGCCATACACAAACGCACAAACCTCGCACACCCCACACTCATCACATTTATATCCATTAATCTCCAAAAATAGTAAATTAAAAACAAATATTAAGATAAACTTATACAAAACCTGCGTTAGACTCGTCATTACCTACGGACATCAAATCTGGGCGGTTGCCAAAAATCATATAAATAAAGTTCAAAAGATGCAAAATAAATTTTTACGAACAATACTAAACAAACCATATGATACTCCCATAAAAATATTACATCAACTAGCATTAACAATAAAAGACTTCGTACATAACTCAATTACAAACGCCTATACCATCCAAACCACGAAAATCATCTAATCAAATCACCGGAGATTATCAAATAGACAAAATCACCGAAAAAATAAGGACAAAACTTCCAATGCAACACTCAACAGATAACAGCAACAAAACACATACCAACATGAATCTGCACACCAAGTCACTGCAGGTTTTTGAAAGTGTTTCTCCTGCAAATACTCAAAGCAAGATCAAAAACTCACACAAACCACCATAAAAAAATCAATACCAATCTTAATATGTTAAATGCAGGTTATAGGGAAACTCAAATCCCCAGGGACTGCAGCTATACTCAAGGTGGAAAAAAAAAAAGAATATAATTCTGGATATAACAGACTAACAATGAGTAATGACTAACAATAGCTTCCGTTTCATCGATAGTATCATCTAGCACAACAGTTTATGAATCACTAAACATGAATTATTTGTTCATGTACAAATGTCTTTATACCTAGGGTATAAATTCATCATCGTTTCAACGTGATTCTGCAATCGTTGTATCTAATATAAACGTTAATAATAACATTTATAATTTATGTTAAGTGTAATGCCCTGCAGGAGGTATCTATTAATTTCCAGCTTACTTCACGTGCAATATTTCCCATAGCAGTAATCGCGCATGAAAAAATAATTACGCATAGTATTATCATTAGTGTTGCAACAGAGGCACTTTTGCATTTTACCTCCCTTATACCAAGAATACTCTCAAAGGGTTGTACACGCAACCGAATCATTATCTTCGCACGATTTGATTATCGATTGCAATGAAATTTTCATAAATTAATTCAAGGCAACGTGTTACACTCGAAGTTGAGGCATTGTGACTGTTTGACGGTTATCGTAGTTAGTTTCGACGTCGTGTCAGTATGTTTCGAAATGTTACGCCGGAAAAGGCAATAGTTTTTGTCGAATCGATCGTGGCACTGAGCCATTGTTGGCCACTTCCATCGACAGCCACCAAATCTCGGATATTCTATTACAAACTTTTGAGATCCGTGCTGCTCCTCAACTCGCTTTTACTCTTGTTTCCCTTGTTGTACGCGATATACGTGCACCGTGAAGATCCAGTGAAATTTTGCAAGGCAGTCTCTTTGGCACTTGCTGTTGTACAGATACCTCTGCATTCTTCCTTTTGTATCAGTCAGTACGATCGATATCAGGTAAGCTTCATCCTTAAGACCCGAGGCAGGCGAATGGTTCGCGGCAAATTTGCACTGTCTCCAACAGCTTTCTCTTGTAATTCGCGCGAATGGTTTCCGTTAATTTATCGTTCCGTGTTTAAAACGCGTTGCGCCCAAATTACAACAAATTATACAAACCGCTCGTTTATACAAATCGCCATACAGGAATAACATGTACAAATAAGCAGGAGATGATTCACGTTCATGGAAAGGAAATAAGGAAAAAGACATGGAGTAAAATTTGTTGATTTGAGGCTTCGTTTGCGAGAAAATCGACTTTGGAGATTTATCAAACTAGCCTCGAATTTAGCTAATGATAAACGTGAACAGAGAAGAATAATTAACAAGATTGGCTTACGAAAATAAATAAAAATTTTTCCTTTAAAGCTTTATTTGAAAAGAACAAAATTACATCGCGTTAAAATTCGCCTTGTACCTGATAAATTTTCAAACTCGAGTCTCTCGAAAACGGAACATCCTACAAGAATAATTTTATTCTACAGTTTCTACTTACTTTTGCGCGTAAAATAACGTACTGTCTAGAATTAACAAACTTCGAATCTGCTCGACAAATCTCGAAAACGAAGTCGCAAATCAACAAATTTCTTTTTTATTCTTTTTTGTGAGAAATTATTCCCCGCTCATTTTAAAATAATACAATGCGTCATCGCGAACTTTTCATTTGCGAACAACCAATACATTTTGATAGATAGAAATTTATCGCCTAGTTTCCTACGTGAAGTGCTTCAACACAAACTAATATTCTTGCAAAACGCAGCGACAACTTGGCAGTTTGCAGCGAATTTGCTCGTCTGCGCCGAGCTTGATAGTCGTCTCGAAATTTAGCGACTGCAGTGACGTATTTCAGCGATTAATCGAAGAGATGAAATCTTGCTGCGAGAAAGGAAATTCACACGAGAGACGTGTCTTCCAACAATACGTGGACAAGTACGCCATGTATTACGTGGCGTCTGCAGCTTGGTTTTATTGTACCGCAACCACCGTCCTAATTGGAACGCTTTTCATACCCGATCCTTTCCCAACGATGGCAGAATATCCGTTCCCAGTCGATTCTGAACCCATAAGAAGCATCATTTTCTTGCAACAATCACTCGTCGGTTTCCAGTGCTCGTCAGCTATGTGTATTAACATATTTTGCGCGTTATTGATGCTCTTCGCTGCAGCACGTTTCGAGATTTTGATGAACGAAATGCGCACAGACAACAATGTTGCGTTGTTCGTAAAACATGTAAAGAAGTATTACGCTCTGAAAAGGTAGGCGACGATTCTATGTAAATGCAAAAGTTTGCGAGTGAAATTATTGGCAATTATTGCACTTATTTTTTGCACTTTCATACTCGCACATTTCATATTTATATTATGAATTATAATTAGACTACAGATTTTCGTGCATTTGTAGAATATTTGAAATTACGAAATTGTACAGAATAAGATGAAAAAGAATATTTATTATTAATATTAATATATTTATATAATGTTATTGACTTGTTACACTTATTACATATTAAAAAAATATATATTATATATATTATATATATTTTAAACATGTCGTAGATATGCAAAGGAAGTAACGAATACAGCTCGATATACAACTCTGATTACGCTAAGCATTTGTGGCATGGAAAGCGTGTTTGCCGGTATCATTCTTATTGGAGTGAGTACATGAGCAATGTTGCGGATTATATACAACCCTGATTATTATTATTAAAATTTACTCAAACAAACAGCGACAACCATTTGCTGTGAAACTTCAATTTGTTTCCGTGTGTTCTACTGTACTGCTGGGGGTGTTCATGTGCGCGTGGCCAGCTGACAACTTAATATACGTAGTAAGTCCTTTCACATCTCCTAATTTCGTCTTTTCAAATTCAAAGTTACGATTAAACATCAAAAGTTACGATTAAACATCAAAAGTTACGTTTCTGTTATCAGAGTGAAAACGCTATGCGAGCAATTTACGAATCGAAATGGTATGATCAATCTCTGAGAGTACAAAAATTTATATTGTTAATGATGATACCTCAGTCGCCGGTGATCTTACAGATCAGATGTATCATTCCAGCTTTCTCACTAAACTATTATTGCTCGGTACTAGAATGATTTCTATTCTTGATATATTTCATCGCCGTCTTTGTCTACCGAGTGATTTAAACAACTATTTGATATTTCAGTTCATCACGAACGTGATGTCTATGTTTACGGCTTTACGAGTTATCATGTATCAAGATGAAAATTGAATACGTAAGTTGACGATATTTAATAGTTACATGAATTATGTGAATTCTACAATGAATCGATATGTTATAAAATATATACAATTTACAAGTTACAATGAATCTCAATATGTTACAAAATATATATGTATGTATTTCCATAATGAGCGATTTTCTTTGACTGAATGTATTTGTATTTGTTCAGCTGTCATTGTTACTGAATACCAAACGTTATGATTACTTTCAAAAATGATAAAGAAAAATTGAATAAGTTCATTCTAGACACCTATTGCAGGAAAATTTGTTGCTTACTTAGTCATATAATACAAAAAGTTTGTTTCCATGAATGACCGCATACTAAAGCAGAATCGACGAAAATGCTACTCTCAACAGGAAATACAATTTGTCGTCTGGAATTTATGGTATGCAAGAAAGTGAATTTATTATTTATTATTTTGTTCTTCGGGAATTTATTTTGTTGGATGACAAACCCGGACAATATTGAATCTGTCCAAATACTGATAATGAGCTAACAACAGTCCACATAAAAGTGGACTGTGAATAGTTATAGGGGCAAGATTCTATGCTCCTTCCCCTCCCACTTGACGATGATAACCAAATATATATAAGGACATGCTTTGGAGATATTCTAGAGCATGAAACATTCTAAATCATTATAGAAATCATTCTAAATCGCTATAAGAGACATTCACCATATTCTAAGACATTCTAAATCATTGTAAACCATTCTATATTATTCTATTTCATACACGACCACGACTGTAGAGGAATAAACTCTTCTAAATTATAAGCGTGATTGACTCCGTTACACGGAATCCAACAATTTATTTACTCGAGGGACAATTTTTTATGAATTTCAAAATATTCCATTATTAGAGGATGACGTAGATAATAAAACTGATGAATATTACTGATAATATTATTCATTTGTCGTAAACCGCTCGTCTGCATCGGGCTTGGCCTAACTTTGTATTTGCACCAAATGAACGAGTGCTCGTTTGTCCTTTGTTCCAAATTTGCGTTCATTTTATAGTCATCAGAAACGTGTTATTTTCTAAACAATGTTTATCATGACAATTGGGTTGGTAAATTGTACATCCTTAGAAACACAAAAACATTATACTACCATGTTACCAATATTTTTAAATTTATCAAAACGCCGTTTAATATCTTGATTCAAAGACAAATGAACTTGGGCCACTTTTAAAATAAACGGCTCATATCTATTCCAATCATAATCGGTTAAATGACCGAATTACGAAATGAAATGAAGATCTTCTCGCCAAAAGAATACAGATAATTGTCAATTTAATACAGAAAAATTTAGATGACATGATAAAAAATTACACATTTTCTTGTTCTTACAAGAGTAAGAACGTAAAGCAAATGAACGAAAAAAAAATAGCAACGAATGCAGAACGTTAAATCAAATTTTTAAACGGGCCATTTGACCAAGCGTTTAATGTTAACACAGACGACACCACGATGTTCTATGACGTTAATGAACACGATGTGAATACAAATTTGATCAGAGTGGGTGACGAACGAACGAGCATTCGTTCATTTGGTATAAACGCACCTTAATAAAACATTTATGCACGGATATTTAAATCAGTTAAAACACATAGCGTGTCAATTGATTTAAATATCCGTGTATAAATACAAATGGATAATGGATGAATATGTATGCATAAATACTACGGATAATATGGTTTATTTGTTCGTATAACTTACTGCCACCAACGAAACAGTTCTTTTGACTAGAATCATTATGTGAAAGCACATATTAGTCTCCACAATCGATGAGCGACTTCTGTTTTAAAGATATCTCGAATACAAACATTATCGTATTACCTTTGCCAATAAAACGTCATTATCTAACTGAACAAACTCCAAATCTAAATGAATAAACTAAATTCCGAGAGAAGGAACTAACACATAACTTGAATGATCGGAATAGCCTGAAGTTCTTTGCAAAAGGTCAACGGAATGAGAACGCGAGAAAATGGAAATTCGTATTGTTTAATAAAATTCTCTATTTCATACAATTTTCAAACGAATTGTGCGGAACGTTGGCAACAATAAACAGACTCTGTTATTATTCCTTCAGCGTGGGTGTAAATTTGTGATGTCTCGTTTGTCGAGATAATATCCGTGCCAGAATATACGTTATTCAATTTGATATATATGTATTAGTGATTGCATGCGCCAGAATTTCAGATTAACATTTACAATAAAGAATTAATTTTCTATACGTGCGTTTCTGACACAAAATTATATATTTATTCGCGCCTGTCGTTCATAGCGTTTGAAATTCGAAGTACAATACTTTTTTAAAACACGGAATCCATTGGTTTTTTTTTTTTCTTTTCCATCAACTCAAATTGATTTAGGTCCTGACAGTTTTATTATTGGCGGATTGTACTTTATTTTCTCGTCATTGTTTAACGAAAAGCAATTAATTTCTGTATACTGAACACTTTGGAATGTAAAGAGAGAAGTATTCGGATCTTTTACTTACGTATTTAGAGTATTTCACATTCTAAGCTTTCTGTGACATTTCTTGATATTTCTTCTTTAGCCTGGTAGGAATTTAAATAAAAACTTCGAATAAGAAAACATCAAAACATAATCACGTGAGTCTTTTGTTTTCTGATTTGAACCTGTAAAACACACCTTTTCTCTTTTTAATTAACAACATTTCAATTAAATCAACAATTGCCAGTGGTGGTTTCGTAATCACTCACGCAAATCCTTCTGCACTTCTCGATTTCCATTGTTATCAATCATATTTTAATGATGTGTATTGTGCTTCTTCTGGAAAATATTAATTATCGATCTGTGTTAAAAATTTTAATTATTACATGTTTCGTAATGTGACTGTTCATCTCTGACAAAATTTCATCGCTGACAAAATGACAGAAAAGTTTGTTTCACATGTTACATAAACAGATAACACATGTGAATTCAGACGACGATGTCAAATCCAAAGATATCAGAAACTTACTATTGTCTTCAAAGTGTCTGATCCTTGAAATTTTGTGATCAAATAATAATTTGGCAACAGCATTTGAAGATGTATTTTAGTCTCTATTTTACAGGCTCTTTATGCACTTTGACATTGAAAGGTACACGTATAATCAGTCTCAAATACATGATAAATTAAACTAACATTCTTTCTAACAACATTCCTCTTTCTCTCGACGTAATGAATGTCATAAAAACTAGCGATAAATCACAAATACTGTTACATACTTTAAATTACGTTTCAAGAAATGAAATATACCCCTATTGCGACAATCCTCTGCAATAATCGATACTTTACTACCACATAGTAGATTAATATCTATTCTCGAAACGGAAACGGAGCGGTTTATTGGGCACGTTCACCATCTTAAAACTGTCTTTGATGTCAGCATAATCGTATTCAACTCTGAATTGTCGTATAAGCTGAAATATGGTCGAAATGAAACAACACTGATCGATTAATAACTGTAACAATTAAATACCTTTGCTGTCACAAGCATCATTTCCGTTTCGGCCATATTCTTTCCTAGGCATGATCTCACACCGTGGCCAAAAGGTAAATAACTGAAGTCTGTGTCTCCTTTTACAGAACTGGACAGCCATCTTTCTGGCCGGAATTTTAATGGATCCTCAAAGTTCTCCTCTCGTTGCGAAGTAATTTGATTTGCCATGATAACGAATGTCTGTAAAAATTTATTTAAGAAGCAACGACGTTATTTAATCTTCATTTGTCCCTGTCATGTGTCCAAACTTGACATGTTTTTCTTACCAAAAGTTGCATATAATTAATTTAAATCACTAATAACTAACTACTCGAATCTTAATTCTGTCTATACTAATTCGTAAATCTAAAGTTCCAACATGCACCTTTTACAATTTCGATAAAAAGATATGCTTCCAGATAAATAGAAATGTTCGTCAACTTAACATTTATAACTCTCACACATTTTCAAAATCACTGAAACTCAGTTTTATCCTCTATCAATAAAATTTAACACCAAGGGACAAATTAAATTGGAAAAATGAGGACTGAGTGGAGATTAACTACGTCATACTTACCCCTTTAGGTATTGTGTATCCATGAAGAGATATAGTTTTCGGTAACAGTCTGGTGATGTAAGGGATGGCTGGGTGTAATCTTTAAATCAAACGAGCCGTTTTACTGCGACAATACTTATCACCTCTATGTATCTACTTGATATCTATCATCTAGATACTACTAACAGCTGTTTCTATTTCAGAAATTACTACCTCAAAGTTTCTTGAAGGCAAGCTTTTAAATACGGCATATTTCTTAACGCTTTCTCCGTGACAGGTGAATCGTTATTTGGCAAGAGAGAAGTGATCTCGTCGTAGAGTTTCCTTTGAGTACGTGGGTTCTTCGCCAAGTGATACAACACGAATGCCTCGGAATTCGCCGTCTAGAAATCACACGATCACATTTCATTGTCAATATCAAAATGGCGTTACGCAGATTCTATCATTACCGCTTGAACGCCCAACATGATCATATCCATCAGCAACGTGCAGACGTCGTCTGGATGAATGCCTTCGTTCACGAGGAATCTTTCCAACACCGGTGAACTGTCGTCGGTCGTTAAGCTCTTCTCTCCTTGAGATTTTCGAACTCGAACCTTGCCTTGAGCTTGACGGACGTATTTCCCTATGACACTGTGCAAAACACATTCGCAAACGATTCCCAGAAACGATTCAAGCGCGGTCAACTTACTTGTCAAGTACGTCGCAAGCCTCGAAGAGTTTCCTGGCGAACGGTGTCAAGAAGAATCGCCACACTTGAAAGCCAGTTTCACAGCTGCACAGGTACTTGTGCGCTGTCACCAAGGCGTTGATAATTCTAGTGGCTTCGGACGACGAATTGTAGCCAGCCGGCTCCAAGAACCCGAGGCGCTTGTTCAACGTTACGTCGCAGAAACACTCCATGGCCCATCGTATCATGTCCTCGTGAAAACTCACAGGTACCTGTGAAAAATCCATTGACTCATCGTACTGTACCGTCAGCTTGACGTTACCTTGATACACGCACTTACTTCGTTCTGTCTGTTCCGTATTTTGTATATCCTAGCAATCAGCTCGTCGCAGATCGCGTCGATCTTTCCGAAAAAACTCGGGGCAATTCGATTGAACAATTGCTCTATCTTCTCTCTCACTTCTATCCATTCCGTGCCCTGCCTGAATAACATTTCTCGGTCAGTGGATCTCGAATTTATTAACAGGAAATTGTGCATAAAATTTCGATGGTATTTACAGGTATTTACTAACACAGAAAACGGCCCTGCGAGACGATATTTGCGGTAGTTCAGTCGATAATGTTGCAGAATATCGATGCCACTTCGTACAGGCATATCGCCTTCTTGCTTGAAGACCTCTGCTATGTGCTCGGGTCTGCGTTAACGGACAAGGGTAACGAGCAGAGGCGTAATTGGGCGAAGCCGATGAAAATTATTACCTGTGAATCATGACAATGTCCCCCGCAAGAGGGCCGTTGATTCTCACGATACAACCGTACTCGTTGAATAAATATTTCAAAGGCGTGATGTTGCGATTCCACGTCAGTCGTCCTGAAAAAAGGAGACCAATCGTCTATCCTTGTGCGAACAGGCTTGTTGAAAACTTTTTACGAACATCACGAGTATTTTTTTTTTTACTCTACACGCTGCCTTATCGAAAATGTCAAAGATTCGAAACGCGCGATTCGAAATCCGAAGAACGAATCAAAGTTTCATTTTTTTTCTTTTTTCCAAGTTTCTTGTCCATCAGATTTTTTAAGTTCTTTGATAAAACACTGGGGTTCTTCGGATTTCTGCCTACTGGTACTTCAACAGATCGTACCCTGGGTGAATCTGTTGATTAGTAGACTGGAAAGCACTTGCGTACCGAGGAGCGGCACGTATTTCCAATACTTCTCCCAAATCTTCAGAATCGCCGGGCCAGGGATCTCCTCGAACGGCAATGGCGACTTGTCGGCGACGATCTGCGACTCCACCCTCGACGTGGACACCTCGAGCGTGGTCGATGGAACTTCCTCGGCCGTGTGATCCAACAGAGGAATCGTGTCTGCGTGCAAAGACTCGTTGACGAGAGAAGCCGCTTGCGACTGGGCCATGGATGCAGCTAAAACAACGAACAAATATATTGATAACCTAGTGAGAGCGATATTTCGAAGCGTACTCACAGAGAATGTCAGAAGTATCGAGATTGAGGCGTTTCTGGCTCTCGCTTGTTCCCAAAGGCTTCGACATCTTTATCGCCGAATATTGCCGAGAAATCGACGCTAAACCTGGCAACAATCGTTGCATTTTCAATTGCAGTTTATCAGCCACCGATTTTTCGCAAAAAAAAAAAAGAAAGGTAAGAGTCCTTCTCACGAAGGAAATAACAGCTTGGTTGCCCTGGTAACTAAAAACAGAAATAAAATGCAAATCGGAACACTAGTGAAGTGAGCGTCGAATTCGGAATAAACAGGCCGAAGTTGTTTTACGTATAAACTTTATTTAACCAGAATTTATTTAAAATCTTGCCGTTGCAGATTACAAACTAGCATCCGAACGTCATAAATATATATTTTTTAAATTCACACGTCAACTTCGATCTCAATGTCCTCCTCGTCCTCCGAAACAGTCTTTTCAGTCGTCGCGTTCTTCGCGTTGTCCTTCGTCAACTTTTTCGCCGATTCCTTCTGGGCGTCGGGATTCGACAGGACAGCGCTCTCGCTCTCCTTCGTGTGTCGCCACTTCATTCGCCGATTTTGAAACCAGACTTTCACCTGAAGAGGACAGAACACCCAGTTCTAGAATTCGATCGTTCCGAGATCGCTCTACGCTCGCAATTTAATAGGGTATTCTGGTAATCCGGCTTATAAGAATCGACTTTTCTAAGGAAACCATGATACGTTTTGGTATGCAGTCTTCGCACACGGATTTATTCATACTTAAAGAATAATCACACAATTTTCTTTTAACGAAATTAATGAAAATTGTGGAAATTACATAGCCTTTGGTAAAGTATGTTTTTAAAAACGGGTTCGAATAGCTGACATGATTTCCGGTCCATCTGGTTATTTGAAACGAAAATTAAACAGCAAAATTTCGAAAATTAAAGAAATGGTAGATTTTTGAAGTTTAAATATCGATTTTCCTTGTGCTTTTCATCCTTTGGGTGGTAAAAAAAAAATAAAATCGCATTCATACGATAAAGGTGCATCCAACGGTAGAGATCTTCCGTAAATTTCAAGTCAATCGGTCAACAACTAAAGCGTGAAATATCCCGTCAGCCAGTTAAAAAAATATGAATTTGAGAGAAACACATTTGAAGTTTCTGTTACCCGTTGTACAAAAATATTCATACTTGCAATCAGCAGTACAAAAAATAAAACATAAAATAATAATAATACAATAATAAATAATAATATAAATAATAACATAAATTATAAAATAAAATATTTTTTGAGAAAAACACATTTACCCGTTGTACAAAAATATTCATACTTGCAATCAGCAGTACAAAAAATAAAACATAAAATAATAATAACATTATAAAATAAAATATTTTTTGAGAAAAACACATTTGAAGTTTTTGTTACCCGTTGTACAAAAATATTCATACTTACGTTACAAGCAGTACACCGTTTCCTTTAAACATCTACAACTTTTACGAATTCAAACAAATCCTTTTACACAGAAATTTCCGTAAGTACATACTTTGAGAAAATGTAAAAAAGAGAAAAAATTGATTTCCTAAGGCTGGATTACCAGAAAATCCCCCCGTAATTTGACGTTATACTTGTGCGTCGGTCAAGCCTAGAGTGGCAGCGAGTTGCCGCCTATCCGGTTTCGTGATGTACTTTTGCAGAGAGAATCGTCGCTCCAATCCCTTCCGTTGCAGAGAACTGAACACGGCCCTCGACCACGATCTCTTCCTTCTGGTATTGGTCTCCGATTGGTTGCTCGGTGTCGAGGCGGACGACATTGGAACTGCAAAAGTTCGAAAGAAGGCCGAATGTTTCAAAAACGCCCGTGGCATCCTCGGCACAGAGCAATGCAGAAAAGAAAACGGGGACTTGGCTCCGTTTGATGAAACAGATGCAGAGAGCGTTTCGTCGCGGTGAACGCAAGTGCGAGATTACAAATTAAAAGGGGGAGGGGGGGGGGGGGGGGGGGGGCTTGACATGATGTAAACGGTGGCCTTAGTAGGATGGGTGTCTGTTTCAACAGATCTTATACCCGAACAAGAGGCCTCCAAGATTGGGTACTTCTGGCTGATTTACAGCCCTACAGAAGTATACAACATGTGTACGAGTTTAAACAGTGTGGTTCTCTCTCTGGTTGGTACGGTCCTCCCCGTATGAATCGGATGGCCAACAGTTAGTAAGGTCATACTTATTTCGGGAGCTTTATGCTACCGTTTGAAAGTGCAACTTCTATCGATAAATTCTTGCTTATTCTATTGTTAGCCGCCGACGCTGAGCGATCGAATTGATTGGTACTTTCTCTTTCTTTTTTTTCTTTTCTTTTATGATATATTGTTGTTACACGATTCGAATGAGAAAAAAGCAAAGGGCAGTTTTTCGACGTTTCCCGACTTTTTTTATCTAACCGAGGAGTACGACGAAACCGCTGTTTACACCGGCCATAAACGAACGGTGGCACTTAAGATGTCGTTTAAACACGAACAGGAAACACGGGAATACACTGGCGCGTAAATATTTTGCCCTACTTGCTGTCGAGTATTCGGAGAGAGGACAGTAGTCCATATGGTCGCATTTGTCAATGACGCAATGTGTTCGTCGCACGAACTGCGGCTTTCCGATCATCTCCTAAAATGATCGTGAGGATCCGAAAAATTCATTGGACGATTAATCTACTAATTTTAAACAGTGTAACAGTGAAGACGGAAAATAATTTTGCAGACTATCGCTATACTCACCTCTGGGAACAGGTCGAAGCGGAGCAGGTCGATAAATATTTGTATAATTTTCGACCACTCCGTTTCCGTGATTGATGCTCGCATAACTTCCACCAGAGATGGTCGTTTGAACGTAAGAGAACGGAGGGTAAATTCGAAGGGCCTCGCACCTGACGCAACCTCCCGGACAAGGGCATCGCACCGTAGAAAATTGCACTGGAAGTAGCCTAAATATATCTTTCGAAACACATACGTTTTTTTTTTTTTTTTTTTTTTAAGTATTTTCATATACATTTCTTTCTCTTTTTTATTTAACCTCTTGCGCTGAAATGACACACGTCGAGAACTTTTTGTCCCGAGTATGCAATATTTTCTCGATTTCAAGTATATTTAAGTACAGACCAGGCAAAACAAACAATAAATTTATTACTTTTCAATCATTTAAAAGAAAGCGACGAATTGTTGTAATACGGTTTCGTCGCTCGTTATGGTCCGCGATCAATTGCCAGCGCAAGTGGTTAAAAGCTGACCACGTACGTACGGGTCAAACGATGTCAGCGCGATGTCAAGTTTGATGATCGAGTCAATTTCAATATTGTTGGAAATGAAGAGGAACGCGTTTTTGTGTTTTGTTACCTGTTCTCTTCGAGGAGATTTCGTCCGACAATATACGCTCCACACCGAACTTCAGTGCCTTCGAACAATTTGTACCATCCACAACGCGGGTTTTCACTTCGTTCATTTTCGTCTCTTCCCTTTGAACTGACTCTCGCGCGAGATATTAGTTACCCTGTCAGCCCCTCTCTCTCTCTCTCTGTCTCTCTCTCTCTCTCTCTTGCACTTTTGACGACTACGACATTTTCCAACAATGCTTCACTCAAAATCGCAATCCAAATAAATCACGGGCACGAGAGCGCACTCCACTGTATCACAGAGTTTGTGTCATGATCCAAAACAGGCACTTCCGACAATGGTACGATTCTCCGGCCGATCGCAAATAGAAGACGACGGGATTATCAGTCGGCCGGCGTCAATGAAAATGGTCAGGGGGCTAAACGAATGACTTTCACGGAAGTGCATCGGGATGAACGAGCGGAGGAGTAGTTCCTGCCATGTTCAGCGTGGTTTAAAAAGGAAAAAAAAAAAAAAAGAAAGAAAGAAAGAAGTGATCGGAGAGCTCGCTGCAATTTCGTACGTGGGATTGGCCTACAGAAACGCTGTAGGCGTGGCTCACTGAAGATTGGTCTCTGAAGGACGATGAGTCTGATGTCAGATTCGATGGAGCATCGCTCGGAAGAACTCCCGGATTCGATGTAATTTTACCAAATAAATATTAAATAGAATAGACGAGACAAATTATCAGTGAAAAGTAAATCAACGAAAAGAGATTCAAAGGAACAAGTTGTACAAAAGAGTGTAATCTAGAAAACAACTAGATACAATTCCATTTTATTCGGATGTCATTTATTATACAGATTACAATTCTTTATGATCGTCTTTCGATAGAAATTATATATATATTTTTTTTATATATTCTACTAAACAACTGCTACCGCTGCCATTGAATAAATTCGATTACGTCGAACAGCCACGGGTAGAAACGTCTTAAACGTAATTGGTAATCTTCGTCGATTAGGAGGAAACAGCGATGGAATAAAGATTCCGGGAAATAAAAATAGGTATGCTATTCGAGTTATACATGTCCGTGGAATAATAGCATAGAGACGTATGGCCGATGATATCTCTGGAAGCCATATGGTTATCTTTGCAGGCAGACTTTCGGAGTATACAGTCACTTAGGTGTTTATTTGAAGAGCCATGTTTGAAGCAGCCTCTACCCACATGCTAAGAATATTCTTCGGGATATGTACACACCGTGATCCTCTATTCGATTTTATTAGGTTTTAGGATTTTCAAGAGTCCGGCGAATCAGAGATAAGCGAATCCCTAATTGAGTTCGCCGAGATCGCGATCGCAAATTTCCCCCTCTCGTAATCTCGTGTTCAATCAACAGACCTGTCCCTCCAACATAAAAAGATTAAATTTTCTAACGTCTGAGATTTTATTACCAGAGAAAGTTCAGCGGTACCCAAAGAGCGTAAATTCTTATTTACTCGTCCATTAATTGTACATTGCGTAAGATCTGGACAGCAGGATCATTCCGTGGTACAACTTCTCAACCTCGTCCTCTGACGGATCGACGTCTCTTTTTGGACGAACGTAGCTCTGCAAACCCTGCAGATTCTGAAATCCGAAACAATCTCTGTGTCTAGAAAACTGTCTGAAAACGGCTTTGCTTCTCAATTTCGATCGCGTATATCCAGAAATCCACTCACTGAGAACACTATAACGTTTCCGTTGCCCGCGTTTCCACCGTTTTGACGCATTGCCGTTATTATAAGAGTGAGCAGATAACCGCCGAAAGCGAGGAACGAAAGCGCCGTGACCGACAATTGGAATATCTTCGAAATTTTCGTGTCCTTGCCCTTTTCCTCGTGATAGTCCTCGTATCGTCTCATTGGCTTTCTGCTCGTTCTTTTCAACGGCTGTGCAACAGGCGACGATAACGAAGAAAACGTTCTGCTTGACATTCCCTCCGTTTGCACGTCTTCCTTCGCAACATCTACACTCATACATTTCAATTAAATTCAATTACCTGTTCAACCGATACCATTAGACCTTCCTAACTGCTAATTAATTGTTAATCGTTATATACGCAATACTGAAGAAACATCGCTATATCATACATTATATCAAATCTGTTGGTTGGCCTAAAAAGAAGGCCAATTGTAGATGTATCATTATTAATCAATAAGAGAATAAAAATAAAAAAAAAATTACCTGTTCGAGTCGCATGTTTTCAACGCTAGAATTATAACCGACGATAAAAAAATTTCCATCAGGGACAGTGAAATTAAAAAAAAAATAGAGAAACTCTATAATACAACGGACCTATGTTTATTTATATATTTATATACGAAATATTGTCTAAATAATAAATTTAACAATACGCTGTTTTACGCGGTCAGTAAAATGTCTAACAAAAATTACAAATTGGTCGTATCGACCACGTGTTAAGATTTGAAATAGATTTACCTGCCTCGTCCGCGAGAGAAGACTTTATTTGAATCAGTTTGCTCATCGGCAGTTCGCTCAGACAGTACACTTCCTGCGTGTAAAACGACGTTCGGTTTGCCGATGCAACAGTCGAGTAGAGAGATAGCAACAGAAACGCGTTGGATATCGCGTTCACATTCATGTCGAACGATGTATGTAGTTTACAATTTCCGTGGTGCGAGTCGTTAAACGACGTTAGTTCCACCGGCAAAGTTCGTTTCGTACTAGTGCGGAAAGGTAGACGAGAAACAATTCCTCTCCGAGTCTGAAGATCCTGTCTCTCGTCGCTTGGCCGACAGAGCGAGAATCGTTGTCATCAACGCGGCAAAACTAGGAACAAGAACGTCACAGATCAACAAGGCGGAAATGGAACGAGCAATTAACATCCGTTAGAACCAGGTCGAGTGTAATTCTCATTGGTGAAAAAGCCTCGGCCGCGACACGATGGAGAAGATTTTACGCGTCTCCTTCTGCGTTTCTGCTATAGCGATCTGTGCCTCCGGTTTACCTCGAGAGGACGACGGTTGGTTGGGCAAAGTTTAACCGTGGCTCGATCGATCAATTCGTTAACTGCACTTCAATTCGCAGGTGTCCTCGACAAGATAAAAACAGGGTTGGAATACGCGACGAATTATCTGGAGACCGCGAGGAACATCGCTGATCTGGTTGCGAAGAGTTTAGACGGTAAACAGAAGGGAAGGCGAGGAGAGGGTGACGAAACAAGGGAGAAAGGAAATTTTGGCCCTTCGAACGTCGTGTCCGCGTTCTTTCGCCTGTTCGGCCTGGACTCGCAGAAAGTGACAGCCATTGCTGTGAACAGTGTCATATTTCTCGCGCAAATGGTCCGTTGATCTGTGTCTTATCACGCGAGACGTATTCCGACACGAAATAATCACGAGCTTCTGTCGACGATTGCAGATAAGTTCGTTGTTCAATCTGAAAGCTCCGGAGGGAAACATCGCCAGGAATCTGGAAGACGTGGCTGACACTTCGTCTTGGGATCCAGCTAAACTTATCACGGAGAGCAAGAGCGAGAAAGTGAGTCTGAATTTGAATATAAAAAACGTAGGGAGTACAGAGAGCTGCGAGGTAACAGGGACGCTTTCTTTTCAGATACAGGACTTGATCGAGCAAGCTTACGATGAAAATCTGCCGAACCGATTGATCGAAAGGATAGACGGCACCGATTCGGCGTGTACCCGACTGCTCGTGTGTAAAATCAGCCCGGTGATAACGGCGGCGCAGAGTTTCCTAAAAAATGAAGATCGAGTTCGACCGCGTCGACTGACTGCCTGGTTGCCCAGCAGAGACGAGTTCGAGGAAAACAGCGACGGATGCGAAAACACGCATACCGACTGCAGTTTATTTTCCTAGCAATAGCTATTGATATCGGCTTGTGTAGTTTGTTTAACTTTAACTCCGGCCTGAGAGAGAAAACGACGACAGAGGCGATGCAGGAATTTTTTTCCCCAGAGATACACACTCTACGAGGCTAAATTCGCGTGTCAGCGTCGAAAGGAAAATAGTTGAGACTTCGTTTTAAAACTGTAATATGCGTGTAACATGGAATATTGCTGGGGGATCAAGGTGTTGGTTTTGCGCATAGCATATATATTTGCGTCCATACAAATATATACTATATTACAGAATATACAAGGTATTCCAAAATTAATTTACTCAACGTTGCAATTTAAGCAACGTCCCTGACGTTCCAGAAGCATGCGTCGACGAACGAAAAGAAGAGAGCAGTGAAGTCAAAACTATCTTCTTCTCTTCTTCAAGTATGTCCCGTTCGTTTGAACACGAACATCGGTGAATTAAGTTTGGTAATACCCCCTTGTACCTCGAACCATACGCAAGATGGCTGCGAGCGCACCCGTCCCAATCATCTCAAATAAAATCATATTGCTTCAAGTCGTTTTAATTTTTACAAATAACATTTTGTCTCCTGTTACGTTGCACAAGAAAAAACGCGTATGGATCGTGGACGCGTGAAATCGAAGTAATCCCGATCGCGTTGCCAGAGTGTTCAACGCGGCTCTTCAGCGGGGATTAACAAGATATTCCATCGATGTTTCTGTAAAACGCATTGTGCGAGAGACATAATATCGGGTTACGCAACGAAACTGCGCAAATCGAGTTTACGAAACGAACTATTCGCAAATTATTGCACTGTGGTATGAAGCACCATACGACTGATTAAATAAACGCAGGACCGTCGGTTGTAACGTGCCTTAATTTACCAACTTCCGAGGCAACGAACCGTTTACGTGATACCGTGTCTTTCACGGAGAAATGTATGATTCGTAAGGACGGTGCTAATGAAAAATCTCTACTCCTTGAAATATTCGTAAGTCGAACGTCATAAAGTGACCCTACAATTCCCGAATATCGACTCAATGTCCTATCGGCATTATTTAATCGATGAAAAATCAACTATATAGGTTGTTTCGATCGCTGTTCTTACGGTTAATATCAGGACCGTTTGCTAAGTAAAAAGAATGAGTTGAATGAAACGTCGAGAATGACAAGATTTGTAACAAGGAAGAAGTAACCGCTCGAGCAACAACTACTTACTTTGAAACAAGTTTTCTCGCGAAATTACCCGGGGATGGTCTTCTACGATGTAGCCACGTGTCACAGACTTTCGAATGTATACTGTCACGTTTCACAGTGTAGAAACTACAATCGCTCTACACTATACACCTAATGAGATCAGAATTATTGCGGCCTAATATATGCTGTCGAAGATTAAATGTCGATTGAACGTTTCTAAAATCAACGAATCGATACGATAATGTATAATTGTTAATTGTTAGTCGCTTCTGGGTGATCTGGATCGATCCAAAAATCGTTTCTCTACGTTTCCCTTACGTACGGCGTGTAAAACAACACCGTAATTACGCGCGAGTCAGTTTACAAAGTCGATAATTATGAAACTTTGGCATTCGAGGGACATCGTAGTAAATCGCAGCAGAGAACTTCGGACGCGCTCCAAGTTCGAATTTCGATGAAGTTGTCGACGGATCGTCGAAGAATCGTCTATGAATATCTCTCTCTCTCTCTCTCTCTCTCACACACTCTCTCTCTCTCTCTCTCTCTGCCTAAGCGCGGTGTGGAACTTACAACATACACGAATGATCAATTAACTCGATACAAAAGCTAAGTCTTTCCGTTGACAATTTTTGATTCACATATCACATACTGATCTGATAAAAGGAAAACCGGTTCGACACTTCTCGTTACGTTCGAAGATGACGCCGTCGGTTTTATCACATTATCCGTCTCGAACGCGATTACGTCAAATAATTCGAAATATCCGATACATGTATATTTATAGTAAACGTATATATATACGATATAGGATGTACGCATATTTATACATTCTCGTTACGTTACGCGGAAAAATCCATCTCGAAAATATATATAAAGGTTCAAACAGACTGTTCGGAGGGTGAGAAGGGGGGAGGGTGGGGAGGAACCAGCGGATCGTATCGACCTATTACCGGCTATCGAGAAAATTCTTATTTACACACGTAGCAGAGAACTTCGCCGCGCCTAACGCCAGCTTCTTTGCGCAAACTCGCGCAATTCCGGCTTACTCGCTTCCTCAACGACTCACGAGCTTCTCGCATGCTGAACGGGCGCGATGATTCGTTCGTTTCCCTTTTACGAAAGCTCTTCCGCTTTTACATGGTCATCCGCTGTAATGTTAAAGTTGACTATTAAACGAACAGTTGCCTGACGATCGTTTGCTGGGCGAAATAATAATCGCATCGTCCAGTAGGCTGCTGTCACGGCATATACAGTTTCAAGGAACGCCGACGCGACCGAGCGTCTCGAGAATGTAACGCGCGGTTACGCGCACGTTTGCAACAGCGTCGCCTCGAGGCTGCCGCGTTCGGTTTCAGACCGCTCGAGACGACGAGCCTGTTGCGTTTTCTGTAAACGTGCCTCGTTGCAGTCTTTGTCGTAGCTTCAGCGATGAAACGAACTGAACTCGATAGGAACAAGCAAAAAGGAGGTTCTCGAATCAGCGCAATAGACTCCGCCAAGACGGGCACACGCGATCCGAAACTCATTTGACGACGAATTTCGATCGAAATTCTCGCTTCCAAACGACTTGTCACGATATACATATACAGGGTGTCCCGGGATTTTCCCGCCAAGCTGCGAGAGCTTGTTCTAGGGGCCAAAAGAGGAAGAGAAAAATGTTATATGAAATTTGCGAATCGACGCTTTGTTACAGAGATATAATCAAAAATGGATAAACTTGGTATTTTACTGACTGTGAGTTTCAGTATTTCAGTCATTCCTTTTCTTTGCACGAGCCTGTTTCATGATTGGAAATGAGCGTCGATCAACACAGATCTATCCGATGTAACAACGTAAACCGGTACGTGGTATTTTGAAACAAAAGTTTACTCGACCGAAGTGACTTCGTACGAAGATCTTGCGCAGCGTATTAAAAATACTGAGACACTGCACAGAGCGATAAATTCAGTTTTTCATCGACGTCAAGCTTGTATCCGAGCAGAAGGACATCATTTTGAAATGAGTCCTTAAAAAATAGTGAGTAACTATTTATCATTATTTGTTTATATCTCTGTAACAAAGCGTTAATTCGCAAATTTCATATAACATTTTTCTTCTTCTTTTGGCCTCTAGAAGTTTGGCGGGAAAAACCCGGGACACCCTGTACAGAAGAAGAGAAAAGGGGAACGATTAACGAAAACACGTTTTCTTGAATTGGTTTAGAAACACGTGTAGATACATCGAATCTACGTCAACGAAACGGGTACCGGTGTCGCCTAGCGTATGCCGTTTGGAACCAAATTTTTCGATGGACTGTGGACCGTGTTTTATAGTATCGTTCGACCTGGACTGATCTTTGCTCTCGACGCAAGTCTGTCGCAGCCAATCCCGTAGATTCCACGTTCTCTCCATCAGGTTCGAGGGATTTTTCTCAACGGTGCAAACGCTGGTGGTGAAACCGCTGTTAGGGCCATATTGGGCGATGATGTTTTGCGTGTTAGGCGTTGGTGGCTGCGTGACTGTTAACTGAGACAGAATGTTCGACTGAATATTCGGGGTGCCGAATGTCCCTGAAAAGAGTTTAGGCGACGTTAGAAATCTTCTCCGCGACGTTGTCCAAACGACGGACCCGTGCTCACCTTGTATGTTATTCGACTCGGCCGTAAGATGATGGAAACGTAGCCATCGCAAATAAGAGTACATCAATGTCGGCGGCGGTGGTACGTTCGTGTCCTGGCGTTTATTCAGCACGCCCCAGATCTCACGTATTTCCGAGTTTAGGTTTTCCAGGTTGGCAATGATTTCCGTCGACTCCTGGTAGTGATCCGGTTTGTCTGAGTACGAAGGATCAAGACCACAAGATCGAAAACAAATTCTTGAGTGGAAAGAAATGAACGAAAAGGGGCAGGCAGCGGTTGGTTCGAGCGGACCGAGTGGGAAATAATTTGTGAAAACAAACCAACAAATTTAACGAAGGAGTGGGAGGCAATCAAAGAATATATAACTGACAGCGGGATAGAAAGAGGGAGAATCTGTCGGATTCTCTTACCTATGAACGTGTCGGTTGTCAAATCGGTTGAACTGATACCACTGCTCACGCTGGACATATCGCTCAACGTCAGTTCCTCGTTCTTCGCCGCAGTCGCGTCGTTTTCGTTGGTTTTCGCATTAACCACTCGTTCCAGGGATTGTTCCAAATGCCTCAGATGGATCACTTTCTCGCCCAGGAGGCTCTTGGTTCGATGCAAATTCACTTCCATGTCCGAGAGCTCGCGTTCCTCCTGAATACGAAAATTAATAGATTGATTGCCTGTAGGTCATCTAGGTAACTATGGTTTCTATTCTTGTAAATATCTTAGCACAACTAACAAAGTAAAACGAATACTATTGGTAAAAATATATATATATTAAATACGATATCTTAGGAAAATTTCGTGTGACGTAGTTACACACTAGAAAGCAGTCAAAATGACTAATTTCTAATTTTCTATGGAAATTTCACATATTTACAGCAGTGTATTTTACACTCGAGTGACTTTTAATCAAATACATTAATAGAAGCTTGTATCCTTTGTTGCGTTATTAATTTTTTCTTGTACCTTGCGCTTGAATTTCTTTGCTATAAATATTATACATTTTCGTCGGTAGTTCTAGCGTTGAGGTAGCTATACCTTAATTAATTGCTCGAGGGATGCTCGAACGCTACGTTGCTTCCAAGCCCTCTGTCGTCCCTGGAACACGTTCTCTTGGTGACGAAGTGCCTCCCGAGCCCTCTTCACTGAATCTCTTTCGACGTGAATCCGATGCCGGAAGAACTCCAGCTCCGAAGAGGCGTTCACCGGTGCTAAAAAATCGAGCAAAATCCTTTCCGATGCCATCGTTATTAGCTCGTACACAGGCAATGCCGGTAAACGCGGCGTGCAAGAAGAAAAAAAAAAAAAAGTGTAACGAAATAAAGGAGAAAAACCAACGAGGACACGCTCGAGTCGTGACGATAGGAAAGAAATTAAAAATCTAATTGTGCACTTACGAGCGGGTGAGAGAGTACAAGCCGCTAGCTAAAGTAGAGTGTATAGATGCCTAGGAGGGGAAAAAAAAAACAAATAATAATCCAGTCTTAAATTTAAGAGATAAAAATGAAAATATTGGCAATTACGAGAAATAAATTACTGATAAAAAAAGAGATCCACATTTATATCGGATTATACAAATGAATCGGAATAATGAAAGCGATTAAGCTGTGAATTTTAATTGATATACCATTTAAACCAGAAAATAAATGAATATACAATGTGTTCTCAATGACACAACCAGAAATGATTCTAGATTAAAAAATAAGCCGAAAGAATCACTAGTCAGAATAGAAGGTTCTTCCATCCGCGAAATTAAGTCAGAAGCTTCATTTTCGAAGAATATTCAACTTCAACGCCTAGTCAAGTCGATTCTTAATTAAACACGTTCAAAGTCCTCCTTATTTCCTTGAAAACAGGATTTGAACGGAAAAATTTTCATTTACTTTTGCACGTAACAAGCTCCTGTGTCTAATCTAGAATTAACCAAATTCAAGTATACTTGATAAATTTTCAAACTCAAATGTCTTTTTGTAAACGGAGCTTTAAATGAAAAAATTTTATTCTGAGACTTATTTTTTCATCTAGAATCGCCACCTTGGATCGGGAACACACTTCGTCCGTTTTTAGAACATTCACATTGCTAAAAAAAAAATATATATATATATATATATATATATATATATATATATCTCCCGAAGAGAGTTACCTTTGTCTTGGAAAGGATATCGCAATGTATAGGCCGTTTCGTTGCTTGGCAACTGATCACCGAGATCCTCGAGCTTTTCCAATTGCTTCCTAATGTTCTCGACCGGATTCTCGAGATTGTTGTTATTGTTATTAATATTGTTTCCGGTGGCAGCGGTAGGTTTCGCGGCGGTGGTCACTTTCTTGCTGATATTCTTCTGCGTGGTGGTCGTGTTCGCGTTCGTCTCGCTGGCGATGCTCGTGTCGTCGGAATGGAATCTCACGTTCTTCGCGTTCGACGTAGCTGCGCTCTTCTGAAACCCCGAGTTCGCCTTCTGAGCGTTCGGTTCGTTCGGATCGTGTAATTTTTCCGACAGCTCGCTCGTGGTCGTCTGAGTCTCGTGCGCTTTACTGTTCGTCGTCGCCGAGCTCGAGTGCGCGTTTCGTAGTGGGTTACTGCGAGCACGATTTAAGGCCTATAGCCAGACATTAGGGCGAATCGCATGAACATGAGGGAGTACCTTCACAGTTTCTATTTCGCTACGCAAATAACAAAATCTCAAACGACTGTCAATCGTCATTTACAAACAGATATGTATATATATATATGTTGGATTTTGTCATCGAAACACGAGAAACATACACGGTGTACAAGGGTAACGAACGTGCTCCGTCAAGAGTGACATCAACTATGAAGGTACTGGAATCGGTGACGAGGAGAATGGATGTGCAAGAACTTAACACTAACAGCGAACACCAATGATGTAAATACCAAATATAGATATAAATATCGTAAACACGTAGGTGAAAAAGAAAAAAAGAAAAAAAAAAGAAAAAAGAGCTGTGCTTCCGACCGATTTGTTAAAGTCATGGCACGTACAAGTAGTTCAGAGCGCGAGCCAACACGTCAACCATTCGCGATTCAATTCGTTTCTCTGATCTCACGCGCCCTCCTCTTGTACAACGTCGCTACACAATCGCGCGACATCCTAAAATATTGCAATGAGATTGCCGAGTGTTGCAGCAACTATTACTGGAAAAGCAAAACCGTGCCGACCGGGAGGGAAATTGGCGAAGCTAATCAGATCTGAGCTCGAACTCACTTTTGTTCGGACGATTCGGTCCTGTCGGTTCTCGTTCTCGTGGACGTTGACCTCTCGGTCTCCGAGGCCGTCGTGTATCCCTCCTTCCTTTTGCTCCTCTTCTCGAGAGCCAAACGAACCTCCTTTTTCAGCTTCATATACTTCTCCTTCAACGCGACGTACTTGTCCTGTAGCAGCCGCTTTTCACAGCGCATCTTTTCGAATTCGCTATCTTTCCCCGTCTGCTTCTTCGCTTCTTTTTCCGCCTCGCGCCAGAAATCGGCCCGGATCTCCTCCAACCGCTGATTGTACATCTTGCGAGTGCGATCCTCCTGAAATCGTAACAGCGAATTCTTCTTCTTTAAGTCATCTTTTCCTCGAGCTCCTCGTTTCTCGTTGCGTCGGGAATAAATTGGAGTAATTCTTTCAGATGCATGCGTGTATCAATATACAGGCTGTCCACAAAGTCTCTTTACAATTTCAAAAATTTATTACAAAGGCAAATGAAAAGACAGATAAGTGGAAATTATTACAAAATGAGACGTATATATTTAAGTTTCTCTTTTTCCTTGTTCATCAAGATAGTACTCGATTTCTTGCCATGTTCGTTGAAGCATACTCTCATCATTGGTGGCAATGGCATCGGTGATCCTCTGCTTTAGATCCTCTGCGATATCTTATATTTTTGTTCGATACACGACATCTTCAACATATCGTGTCAGTGTCAGTTTATTACAAAGACAATTGATGAGATATTTTTGTTCCATGTACTCAGTGGTTATCAAGGTTTTTATCACATTGCATTTCAGGTACCCTGTCGATGAATAAGATACTGTTAAATGAACTCCTTACAAAATGGCTATTACTCAAGAGAAGGTACAGTGTGAATTATAGTTTATTGAAACCAAATCGGATCTGCAGACTTAGTGAAACTTCAGAACTAAGTATGGAAGAGGTCCACCGTCACGTCCATCGATTCGTGCATGGCACAAGAAATTTATAGGGACAGGAACATCTGAAGAAAACATTGATCGAGTACCTTCTTGATGTGCTTTGTGCAACTAATGGTGCCCATTAGAGATGTATTAAATGAGGCAGAAAAAAACTTAACTATATACGTCTCATTTTGTAATAATTTCCACTTATCTGTCTTCCATTTGCCTTTGTAATAAATTTTTGAAATTGTAAAGAGACTTTACGGACACCCTGTATATAATCAACATATCGTGTCAGTTTAGGTGTGAGCATTAACATAAGAATGTGGATTCGAGATACTACTTGTAATATTTCCGAATGCGACAAGAATTTAGAAGCATTTGTGTTAAAGTTACTCTACGAGAATAGCTCGAACAATTGTGGACGAAGTTAGGGAATCGAATGTCGTATTTATTTACGTCAAAGTAGCTGGTAATTGCGTTCGCGGAAAAAAAATTACGTCTAACGAGTTAACTAACCATATTGCATAACGTTCGTCGTTCGTATTATATACATAACCCGATGTCCTTAAGAAGCAATGGACGTTAAAATAGTAATAACAAAAAGAAGCGAAAAAAAAGTTCAGCAAAAGTGCAAAATTACACGAAGACATCGTCGACTCACATTGGTTCTAAAATCGCGCAGAATTTCAACCAAGCGATTCTCGTGTTTCTCCGTGATTTTTGAAATGCTCTCCCTCTGCTGCACACGCAACTGAGAGCGTACTTCGTCGAACTCTTTGTCCAGTTCCATCTTCATGGCTTTGATTCTCGCGGAGTGTTGTTTCGTCAGTTTGATCTCGCTGAGCTTCGCAAGTTTCTCCTCGTCCAGGTCGCGTTCGTGTTCGTTCTCCAATTTCCCTATCTCCTGGTTCCGCAGTTCCAACAGCTCGCCCTTTCTTTCATCGAGTTCCGTCTTTAGATTAGCAAGAATCTCTTGTCTCTCCTTTTCGTAACATATTTCCAATTCGGTCTTTACCTTCCTCAAGTTTTCCAATTTAGCCTCGTCCATCTCGGCGATCAACTTTTGAATCTCTCGTTCCTCCTTGAAAAAAAAAGAGAGAGAGAGAGAGAATGATAACGATCGTGCAACAATTTGAAAGTTAGATCAAACGACGTTGTGAAATACCTTCTCGACCATTTTCCGTCTCAAATCCTCCAACTTGTCGCTCAAGTTTTTCTCTAGCTGCTTCTTCTGCTCCACGTAATTCTCCTCCAGCTCCCTCTTCGTTTGCTCCAGCTTATCCTTGTACTCCTTTCTCAAGGCTTCGATCTCCCTCTGATGCTCCTGGCTCAATTTCGTTTTCGCTTCCTCCAAGTCCTTGCTCTGCTCCTGCTTCCCGTCAGCCTCGCGACAATGTCTAGGAAAGTCCGAGGTACCATCGTCGGTTTGTTCGTTTCTCGAGAAATCGACTTTCGACTTGCTCTTCCGGCGCGCGTCAGAATCGGAAATGTGCTCGATGGCCTCGCTCTTGGAGTTCCTGCTTTGCTCCAGTTTCCCACCACCTCCAGTTTCGCCGCGTTCCTTCTCCGCGTGGTCGAGCTCGCGATAAACTCTAGGAACGTCCGAGGTGTCGTCGTCGTCGGTTTGCTCGTTCCGCGGGCAATCGACTTTTGATTTGCTCCTATGGCGCACCTCCGAATCACTGAACTCGGTGGTCTCGCTTTTCGATATCAGATCGATATTTTTGATTTTATTGAATTTATTGGTATACGTGTAATCGAGGCTGCTCTCCCTCGACAAGCTCTCCCCGGACAGACTGTCCCTGGTCATTTGCATGCGATGCTCCTTCTCGGAAACGTTCTGAAGGACAAATCGTTTACGATGCTCGTTCTCCGGGACGTTCCGAACGACGAACCTCTTGCCCACGATTTTCTCCGACGACGGACTCCTTTTCACGTTACTACCGTCGTCCTTATCCTCGGATTCCTCTTTCGACTCGCCGCTGAATCTTTGGCAACTCGATTTCTGCGACAACGGGGTCCAATCGATGTCTTGGTTCGAAAGACCTATCTGAACCTCCTCCTGTTCCTCCGACTCGGACTCGGAGTCGTCCTCGGACCTCGAATAGGTGAACCTGATGTCCAATTCTTTTTCTATGTCGAAGCGCACGCTTTTCCGTTCTTCGTCCACTGGTCTGTCATCTGTTGGTAACCGGTAAAAAAAGAATTCAATAATTCGCGACAATGTGACAGTAACGCTACATGCATGTTACCTTACCATCTTCCGACTGTTTCTCCCTGAGAATCGATTTCAACTTGTCCCCGCCGACGTTGCTGCTCTCGTCCGGGATCAGCATGGTCCTGAAGTCGTCCAGTTTAGCACCTTCGTGACTGGGAGTAGTGTCCCTGCTCCTGTTGCTCTTCAGAAACATAGTCCCCCCGCCACTCAGAGTCAGTTCCTTCTGTTGGCCAAACTGGCTCGGGTGCTTCTCCTTGTCGAACTTCTCAGACTTTTCAGACTTTTCCGACCTGGCCAACGCGGTGACACTGAGCTTATCGATGTCGATGATATTTTCTTCGGAGCTAAACCTACTGGACAACTGTTCCCAGTCTTTCTCGTGTCTCGGGCTGAGAGACTCCGATCTCTTCAACACTTCCTTTAGATCTATCTCGTGTTTCGGCATGGCAGACGTGGTCGTGTCGACAGCGGCGGTTGACGCGACCGTTTCCAAAAGCTTAGGACACTCGTAGAACCTCGGATCTTGAAACCTGAGGTTCGTGTAGTCCCTGGCGGCTCTGTTGGTCGCCAGGGGATTATCAATTTTCAACTGTTGTGTCTCTTGGCCCGCGAGATCTTTCTTCCTCGCGCCATCCGTTTTCTCAAACTTTTTCAATGGTGTCAACTTGGTAGGTATCCTGGTTGGCGGCGGATTGGTCTTGACAGATTGTTTTACGGAGGCTTCCTTCGCCGAGGAAGCCTCCTTGGGCAAAGTTGCTTCCTCGTGCGACTCGAGATCCTTCGCTGTTGTCTTCGAGTCCTCTTCTACTGATCAGAAAACACACTTTACATAGATTCCTGACGCTGTGTGTCGCTACGCTGTGTGTCGAGAGAGGAAAAGCTCGGAAGAGATAAGAGTCGATGGTCGTTGCAAGGATCAGAGAAAGAACGCGGGCAAACTTTTCCCCGCTCACGATGACCCTCTCGAGTGAAAAGAGCCGACAGCGTCAACGTTCTCTCGCGAGCGAGTCAACGACTGTTTTCTCCTCTTTTTTCCACTCTTTCTTTTTTTTTTCTTCTCTTTTTTTCCTCTTTTTAACACTCGCAACAGAGTCGAGAGAGGGACAGCGATGAAATGGATAAGAAAATATGCCTAGAAAGCTCGAAAGTGTGCGAAAGCGATTATTATTAACAGCAAAGAGCGCAATGTTGCATCTAAAACGTTACGCCTTCTTTTTCCCTCCCGCCATCCCCTTTCGTGACGATTTTCTTTTGCTGCTCGAAAAAAGACAAAAGGCAAGCGAATGCTAAATAGCGTCGAATTTGTTACACCGATTCAGGAGACTTTGAACGGACAAAACGTGTCATTTCGCAAAAGAGATAGGTGTGTATAGAAATGAACGACCGTGTCAGTCGTAACAAGGGAAAGTAGATAACGAATAGGTCCGTGTATATATACGTGACAACATCGATACACGACGAATTCACTAACAGGTGATACCATCGAGTAGGAAGTATGTATTTACTTATAGACCTTGCTGCTTTACAACTTCTGATTAAATTCTCTATCGCATATTTCTACTCTTCGCTCGAATTAAGATATTTCTGTATCAAAGAGCAAATTTCTTCCGTCGTGCAACTAACAAATAATGTTTTACAACTGTTCCACTTTTTATCTTTCATCGAGAGTTTGTTATTAATTCATTATTAACTCGGAATCGCAATAAAATATCATTAATCGACGTGAAACACGACTCACCGCGAATCTTTCCCATCGGCACGCGTCGCAGTGAGCGGGGAATATTATTTTTCCTATACGGTTACCAAGAGCCCACGATAGGATCAGATTTAAAGAAACTTTGCCCTTTAGACTAGCACGCCTTTGATCTGCTGCTGTTTCCGGCGTGAGAAAAAAGGAAAAAAAAAAAAAAGAAAGAAAGAAAAGAATATCAAAGGGAACGAACTGCCAACAAATATTGACTTTTCACAGCCGTATAGCTCTGTCTAGGCCACAAAAGCCACGAATTGACGCGGCTTTAAACAGTGCTTTCCATTCCTGGCTAATGATAGAGCTCTATGCAATTCAGTGACAATATTTCGAACGAAAGACACGGTCTCGTAAAAGTTCATCGTAATGTCGTTGTTTCGTTATTAGAAAAAAAAAAGAAAAAAAAGAAAGAAAAAATTTAATAAAATTCGCCAGTTGAACCCCTTTGAGCGATGACCGTGTCAGCAGCTTTCGAGCGAGAGACGGCAAAGATCGCAACATCGACTGAATGATTCGCGTTCGATGGATGGGGACGCGATAATTGGACGGATCCACGTTCAAGCAACCATTATGTACTTTCACGAGCGAGTGCACCGACACGTGAGTACCACGAACGAACGTGCAAGGACCGGCTCGAAAGATTTTCAAGGGTTCTCTCCACGCGCGTCCGCATCCAGCCGAAGATATCGCGCGACAAATTTGCTCGTGTCGTCCTCGAAACGATCGCAGCGAACAACTTTCAACCTCGGTTCGTTCACTGGCCACGTTCTACGAGAAACAAAATCGAACATTGACGAAAGAATTAATTCACACTCGAGGAACGATTATCGTGTTTGTTGCGCAAAGGCAAACGGGGGAAAGTGGCACGTCGATAAGATTAACGCTGAACGGCGAATCGATACACGTATTGGCAAATAATTAATAAACGAAGGAGTTTCGGTCGCGCGATTCTATCGCGTTACACGCACGCGAATCGAAATGTTACATAAAGCTTGAACCGAGAAACTTACACGCTGTGCGCGACGTTACGTAAAATACTCGAGCCAACAAACCAGAGGCTCGGCGAGCTGCGGTCATTGGAAAAGAAGCGGTCTGTAATTGCACGAACTCGATGCTCCAAGGTCGAAAGCGAGAAGATATTCCCTCTTTTACGTAATTGGCGCGAATCTGCTGGATGTTCGTGTGCGGCCGAACGCGACAATTACGAAATCGAAATTGAAGAAATCGAGAAGACGGCGAGAATGAATTTCAGAGACAGTGGCCGATCTGTTTCGCCTGCAAAAACCTAAAAATACGAATTGACGCGATTGACGAGAAGCCAGTCCCCGGTTTTCATTGGCAAACAGGTCCTCGTTGTTTTGATAGCGGAGGCTTGGCACCGCAGAGCAGATGATACACACTGCTAGATGCAATTAAGCGAGACGAGAGATTCACGTAAAATGAGAAACTTTGGCAATTGAAGCCTTTGGCGAAAGCAGATGTTTTTCGAAACGTGCACCGTCTGGTTAATCGCACCATGGGCAAACTGTTGCGTTTTCGACTTCGACAGCGACACGATTCAACGACACGAAAATTCACGGGCACGCGTCCAATTTCGAAAAAGAGAAAGAACAAGGAAGCAACGAAAGTTCGATCTCTGAGCAGGTGCGATTGTCTTTTATCTTGTTTACACGCGTTTGCGTTCGATAAGTTCGAATGCAAGAGATATCGACACGACGCAGGCCAAAACACATATCGTTGAAACGCTTATGCTGTTATCGTTGTAAAAGTCAGAGTCGGAAAACCAGAAAGAAAAAAGTTTGTTGCTCGTTGCGAATCGTGGGGATTTTTATACCGATTTTTACGAAATAACAATTACAGCAGTCTGTGTCCATTTCGAGTGCGGGAGGTTTAACCCTTTGCACGACTCTCTTACCGCACTATCTGGCACAAAGATACAAAAGAAAAATAATCATGCCATTACGATTCGATGATACGCACATTATGCTTTATTTATACACCATGATCTACATACATGTACAAAACGCGAATATAGAGCGTGGTTCGATAAATAATCTACCCCGTTTAGTTTGGAGTAGCCAGTCGTCGAATAAATAAAAAAATATTACATCGTGTGTCATTTTGTGATCAGTCTTCTCGTCGGCTCTACACGTTCTACAACTCTACGATGACTATGAAATACTATACTATAGTATAGTAAATACTACGGTATAGTATACTGTTTCATAGTCTGCTTACTTATATTTCTGAACTAATTTAAACTTACTACAGTACGAAAAAGTACTGTAGTAGACTATATGAAATACTATATTACAGTACGGTAAATATAGTATATAGTATTATACTATAAATATAATACTATATACTATAAATACAGTGTATGGTATTATAGTATAGTAAATACTGTATATAGTAATGTGCCGGTCGCAGAACAAGAGGCAAGCACAAATTGTGCCATTCGATAACAACACTCGCGATCTATCCTTCTATCGGCTAATTGCGTACTAATAAAGAGGAGTGGATGATGCATCGGTTAATCAGTCTTTGTCTCTATCTAAAGCGCTAAGTGCAATCAAGTGATAACAGTCCATGTGCAAAGGGTTAATCCTATATTTTCCATTCAGCCGTAATGACGAGGCAATCCGTACCAACGCTGATTTGCCTGGGATTACCAGGTCTAGCGTTGCCAGCCCTGGCTTGCTCGACCATCTCCTTGTACACAGCGTCCAGAGGATGTTGCCAGGTGGTGATTCCGGTGGATGCCTGATAGTAGTACCAGGCGCCGCTGGTCTCGTGGAAGCATGGTAACCATCCCTTCGGGAGGGCCGCCATCAGGCCCTCCCGAGCCAAACTCAGGAGGTGCGGTTCTGTGTCCGGGTCGATTCCCAAGCGCCTCGCATATTCGAGCACCTCTGGAAAAAGCACACGTGCTCCATTAGTTGATTACAAAACAGGGCGGTGGACCGTGAGCCTCGTTCGGGACGCATGGGTATTAATTTGCCTGGAAACGTGCACTTACTGCCTTACGTTTCTCGTTCCGACCTTCTAACGCCCGTGTACACACATACGTGTCCATCGAGCGTTTTCCTTTTTTTTTTTTTCTTTTTTTTCTTTTTTTTTTACGAAACGTTGAACAAGGTCAAGGATTTGCGAAGAACAAAGACGAGCAGAAAATAAAAGAAGTTCTCCGCTCGATAACTTCTATGCGGGCATCGTTTGATTCCTCCGAGTACCGTTCACGCGACGAAACCCCGACGAGGATGGATTTTTACACCTTGTCGCGGAATGGAATTTATAAACTATTGGGTACTATAAATATCCATAGTCGATAAGTAACGAAGGAAAGCATTAACAAGCTGGTGACACGAGTAATTTCAAGGTTCTCTGGGCAGCTGTACGCAAAGTGTAACGATGTACAATCGACTGTAGACAAGGTGGAAGTACACGTGGCAATATGGAACTCGGAAAGAGAAAATTGCGAAAAGTATTATCTATTAACATTAGCCACAATACAACCGAGCGTAAAGTAAAAGCTTCCCTCGTAACAAGGAACTGACGTGTCAAATTGCAAGTCAGTTAATGATAAATTAAACATTCGTCGATCGGTATTCCCATTATGTTTGTCTGAATAAATTTAAAACTGATCCATATTAATCAACTTTATTATACTGTTATAAAGTTGCCTGTACGTACAGGTGAAGGACCTAAAATTAATCGGCTCCAAATATTGACCAGCAGAATTACTAGGAGAACGTAATAAATCGAAGACGCATAAAAAAAAAAAAAAAAAAAGAAATGAATCCAATAATTATACCATTCTGTTTAATTATACATTTCGTCGCGTCAGAGATACGTCAATTGCTTCTCAATTATAATTTACGCTCGAGTTCAGTTAAAACGCGAGAACTCGGATCGGCAAACATCGAGCCCGTTTATTGATTTCCATCTGCAACAAAAGAGCTGCTTTTTTTTCCCATGAGTTCGTCTACCTTTATTAACATCCGGGCATCCGTTTGCGATTCGTTCGCACGGCAATTAATTGCAGCGGCCATAAAGTCACGTTCGGAAGCGACTGAAATAACGCAGTTCAACGGAAGTGGAAACAACGTGAACGATGAAATATTCATTTAACAGCCAGGCAGCCGAACATTCGAGCTTGAATGCTTTGCACTTTCTTGGCAAAGTCAAACCGCGACGACAGCGGTACAAAAGAGGGCCGATTAAAAATTCCATCATGGAAGTCTTTGACAGGTGGCTCCGGGCACGGGGGAAACCGCCACGCATCTGTCTTTCACGCGGTGGATAAAATTTCGTAGCCATGACAGTGGCAACGGGCGAACATTTCGCTGACATTTTGCAAGAATAATCGCGCGAAATTTACAAGATAATCCGCGGCGTGAATTCTACTTACTACCGTTCGTTCGACGGGGGACTTTGTCTCATGTAAATCTAACCGGTGGTACAGATAGCAAGGGTGGAGGTCCTCGAGGCTTATGACAAAACTTTCGCCGCACTGCGGATTCTATTGATTTTCCTCGCCATGCTAGGGGTACGAGCTCAGTGTTCCCGTCCGACCAGGGTGTAAATAAACAAGGAAACTCACCGCCGAAACTATTCGACCTTTTGTCGCTTTGTCCCTGACTTTTTGCATATCAAGATTATTGTGAAGATTTTTTTTTCGCCCCGGTCATTGGCTCGCGAGCAAACTTAGGTTGGCCTTTCCCCGAGTATACTTTTTGTTTTCAAGTCGTCATTTTTCTTTCTTTCTCTCTCTCTCTCTCTCTCTCTCTTTCTTTTTTCTTTCTCTCTCATATGTCGAAAGATGAGCGTAAAGACGTCGCAATCGTAAAATTCGTATAAAAAGACGGCCTAAGATCCTACGTTTTAAAAAGATACGTGTTCTCGAAATGGCGACTCGTAAAAAAAAACACGAGAAACCTGTAAAAACTGCGTGCTGTTTCTCTGGATCGTGAACACTCGGGAAAATACTTCCCCGACGTTTTCTTTTTCCACGGGACACGTTGACCAAATGCTCGGTGTGCATTGTTTAACCATTGGCTAAACTAATTAACTGTTTCGTGGTCCGAGTCGTCGATAACCCCGAGGAACCGGACGGAGGGTGAACAAACGCAACATGACGAAACAAATCGGCGATTGCCGAATCGTTCGTTTCCAAGGATTGACGAGAGGCAGAAAAAGAACGAAGGAAAGGGGAAAAGGAAAAAGGAAAAAGAAAAAACCAAGAAAGAGAGAGGAAGGAAGGGAGGGAGGGAGGAGGGGGAGGGGGTGGGGAGGGAGCTGAAATCGTGGATGACAATCGGCGGCGAGCGAAGAAAACCACCCGGTGGTGCTACATCGATCGAGAACGCGAGGGAGGAAATGTGAGAAAATGTGGATCGAGCGAGTACACGGTTGTTCACGTACCTTCGTCTGACGGATTCGAGGCGCCGTCGAAGATCTCCTTGCATACAATCGTGGCTGCGCTCTCCTGAGAAATGCTCATGCTAGCGCGAACAGCCGTATCCCAAGTGTAAGAGGTTCACATAACACGTCAAACGCGGACGTGCCTGGACATCGGGCAATACACCGAAGAGTCGCGTGGACCGATGAACGTCATTTTCCGTAACGACCGACGCGTGCACGCGAGACGTTTTCGCTCCGCTGACGAGGCCTGTCGCCGACGACCGTCAACGTTCAATTCGACTTGAACGTAGGCGGTGGAAGGAGGAGCGCGAGCACGAAGCGTACAGCGCCCCCGGTAGCCTGACCTCGAACTAGGCCAATGATAAGGAAACGAGTTACAGCCAGCGGCAACTGTCTTATCGATTAACCGAAAAGCCTGCATACCGTTCTTGTTGGCATCGCCGCGCGGGAAATATCTCGATCCAGCTGCACCGACTTCCACTCGGTCTTTTTCCCCCCTTTTTTTTTTCTGTTCCCTCCCCCGTTTCTTTTCCTCTTATTATATAGGTTGATTCGCATCGCGGAGAATTGGAGTGGAACGCGCCCCCGCGTTCGGCGAAACCGTGAAGAGAATAGGCCGACCGAAATGGAGATGACCTCGCCGCATCGACTCTACTTGCTCGAGCTCCTCGACTCGAAATGAATTTGAATGAAACTTGATTTTAACAGTGCTGGATTGTTTTCAATGAATTTACGAATGCCAGTGTCTAGATGTCGCAGTGTTCGACGCTGTTGTGTATTTGGCGAATTTGACGAATTTATAAGTAAAAATATAGCTATAACGTGCCTTTCTTACTGATGGTCACCCTCTTTTGTGTATTCGAATATGTCAATGCAGTGGCGTGACTGCTGCGCTCTATATACTGGAATATTATACCTAAATACTTGATGATTGAAACGAAGTCAAATCGTAAATATATTACTTAAAAGCGAATGAATAAGACATTACAACTCTGACATTTTAAATGCAATCTATTATTCTTTGGAAGCAATGTTGATGTTTTTTAGAAAAGAAACGGATCAAAATTTATTTCTATACTCGGTTTTTATGAGTAATCTTTAACCTAAAAGCTTGTAAATTCAACGATTTAAGAATGTGTGTAATAATAACGAGCATAGTATAAAAGCAAAAGATATCGATCAACAAATATAAATAGAGACTATTTCTTCTACAAGGTGACAAATATAAATATTTTATACAACTATTTTTAAATATCTATTCCTTTATATATCTATATTAATTTTTAAATGCTCTCGATATTTTATATTTTATCGATTATCGTCCAGAAACTGACAAGAACGATCGCAGCGCCGATGTAACGAATGTACTGAATCACATAGTGAATTTTACAAAACAGTAATTTCTTCTTTACCGATAATTCATAGGGACTTTTTTCATTGAAGGATAAAAATGTTTCCCCTAGAACGTACATACTTTTTTAAACAAAATAAAAAAATTTTGTCAGATTGTGGAAACGTATTCAACTTGATTCTTTTCTTCCACGTAAATATCAGTATCACGATTGTAAAAGTTGCAAAATATTGGGTAACAAACTCACTGCATTTAGTTGTTCCTAATAAAGATGGCGCCAACATATACTTAACCACCTCAAAAATTAATCTCTTTTATAACAAACTATTTACAATCTTCACGAATGAGATAATTTGTTGTTAAATGCATAAACCTCACAAAATTATATCAAACATTAATCAAATTTGTTTAATAAATATTCAATTTTCGTACATTTAACACTTAACTATTTCATTTAACGATTTATGTACTACGAGATATACTTCGACTTTGTTATATGAAACGCTCAAATATTTTTTAATACCTTTTGCAACTGCATATATATATAATAAAAACTTAAACATTAAATCAATATAAAAGTATAAAAATTATAAGTGACAATATTGTATCTCATTATTATGTATTGCTCATTAATATCTTAATTCTTTTGGATTTGAATCTTTAAACTAATTTTAAGAATAAAATGAGCAGCGCGATTACGTTACATTGAAACACTGTTATTTTAAAACGAGCAGTACATTAACGTTTTACATTCGATTTTTAACATTTTCGAAAAAAATAAAATGTTCTAAGTACCAAGAATAAATCTATCAAGACCAAAAATAGAATAGTTCTAGCTACTGAAGAAATAAAACACTGATTCAACGAATGAACCTCCCGTTGCTAAGAAATCAAGGACATGCAATTAGAAACAAACTCGATGAAACAAAAAAATGTTAATATCTAATATATAAATCATGATTACTGACAGCAGCCTTCATAAAAGTGATTGGAAACTTCTTCTTTTAAGAACGGAATCTGAATGGAAACGATATTGTTTTCAATTGAATCCAAATTTTAGTAACTCGAGCAACAAATTATTGTAACGTACCTTTCCATAAATTAATTCTGCACGTAGCGAAGAATAGCAGAGCAAAGTAAGACGGAATAAGAAATGCAACCCGATGATTTTGTTGGGACGTGGATCGTTTTGAAATCGGCATTTCTCGACACGAGGGAATGTTTCAAGGATGCAGTTGTTTGGCCGGTATTTTCAATATCTTCTTCCATTTCGCCGCGGTACCAGTTACGCGAGAAACCGGCCGCGTTTCCAGCAACAGCGAAAATAATGATCGGCCATCGATTGGGACATTTAAATTTCACGCTCTATAGAAAACAACGAGGACCGCCGAATCACGGTGTTAACGTTAACGACGCCAGGTTTCGGGCGCCGTTTCATCGAACGCGAAAATTAAATGATAATGATATCCTACACCGACGCCGCGCGAAATACTTGCGGCCTCCAGTCGAGAACATTTATTTTTTTTTTTTCCTCTCGCTTCGGCCTTTCTCGTCATTCTTTCTTTCTCTTTCTCTCCCTTCGACTTGGACTCTCCTCGTCTCTTTCCCCCCCATTTTTTTTCCATACTTTCGCCTCTGTTCGTCCTTCGGTCTTTTCCCTAGTACGTTTTTTGTTCTGTAAAAATCCTCGTTAACTCGAATCACGACTCCCGCGCATTATACACGTAGAGTCGGTACCGACTTTCCACTTTTCCCGAGCTAAATAAATCGTTAGAGCTGGCTTGGTGGCCGAGCACCGGCTAATGGCGCCCCTCTTATTATTCTTTCCTCGGTGTTCTTGGTGAATTGCTGGTTTAATCAACGTTGGAAAACGTAGAAACTATCAAAACGGATGACACCATTGAACGAAAGTTTAATTGACAACCAGCCGCGATACACCGGGCGAAACGCGCCACTTGCCTTCGCTGGATTTTGCCCGGGAACAAACAAAATGGCTGAAATATATACTTGAACGGAACGAACTTGTTCAAAGCGTTACATTTTCTCTTCGGTAGATCAATATCAATGGAGATATTAAATGGGAACGATCAAATTGGAAAATTCGGCGGTTTAACTAAATAACATTCCATGTTTTTTTCTTTTTTTTAGTAGTAACATGGGGTAGATATGTTACGAATGGATAATACATTATCTATTTAAAGTATTTTTCTGGCACTTATCATCAGCAGCCATAACAATTTAGACACATTACATTACTTGATTTCTGAACTTCTCATCTGAATTTAACTTTATCGTCAGTTTCCATCAAGAAGAGAATGTAAAGTACAAAGGAGTATTAATAATCCAACGTAAATTATTACACGCGTGCGTGTGAAACTCAACGACAGTGTTTGAGGATTGAACAGCGTGGTCTCTTCAGTTATTCCTCTCGAGGAAAACTAAATACGCTAACAAAAAGATCATTACGGCCTCTCTGAATCGTAGCTCGACATAAAAAAAAAAGAAAAAAAAAGAAAGCAAAGCCCAGCAATCCGGCGAAGGTATATAGAAAAATCCGTTACGTGGCCATCATGGGAAAACGTAACAACCGAAAAATCACGTACATTGCCCGGAACAATAAATTCTATTGGTCGTTAAACCCTCGAGCTCGCGCCGGGGAATCCCCTAATCTGACCTAACGCCGTAATGTCGTTACCTTGTTAAATAAATGTCGCAGCAGGAGGGTTGCTCGGGGCTGGGCAGACGATCTACAAAAGACCAACCCCTAAAAATTGGGCCAACGTCCGCACCGTTCAAAATGGTGGACCTATGCGCCGCTTGAGAAAAGCAGAAAGGCACAAAAGGAATGACGTTCGACTGACTGCAATCTTTCTCGGCAATGGCCGATTGCAACCTAACCCCCGACGACTCGTTTCGTTGAAAGACGAGATAATCGGGTGTTGATGAAGTGGAACCGTGCGATTCACGTTTGTAACAGAGTTGGCGATTGCGATCTTACGGCTCGTTTGGAGAACGTCGTTCCTTTCATGTGACAGAAAGTTTCAGTGATGCAAACAACGTGCTCCAACACGTACGTATGTAATCTTTTCAATTCGGTTTTCAATGTGTGCCACTCCGCTCGTGCATGGATCGTTCGAAATGGCTGTTAACATTTTCGCAAGCCTCACGCGAGCGAATAAATTTCCAAGGGATTTCGCAGACTACTGATTGAGAAGTTACCATGTTTGAACGGTTATGACAATTTCTACGGAAGCAATGCTTTTCCAATTACGGATATTACTAATTATTCCCACATACTCTGGACAGCAAGTAACAAACGCTGTGGTGAGATTCATAGATGATTCGGGAACGGATAATATTTTATGCAAATGAAAAGCAAGATAGGACGTAAAGTAGTAGAAAAATGTAAAGCTATTACATTGCATCCGAAATCAAAGGCCGTATCAAAGTCTAGAATACGTGCAACATTTTACAGTGTAACTGAACATAATACGACAAATGAAAATCGTCGAGACGTGCTACTGCAATGTATGGCTGAAAGTGCAAAAGATATTATATAACTATAATGTTTGGAAAGCATTAAAAGTAGAGAAGAAATACGCCATTGCGACGGCAAGCAACTCTCAAGACCATCACTCTTCAAATCATTCCGTTGTCTATATACATAAATCTCTGTATAAATTGAAAAGACAGATATAACATAAATTCACAGTTAACTAACAATTGTGTAAATAATTACTGTTTCTAAAATACTAATCTAAAATACAAGTTTTCCACAAAGTGTGCAACTTATTTCGTGCATTGTATGTATGTTTTCTATTCGACGAATGAAAAACACTGTTTAGCAAATTCATTCGCTGTGTGTGTGCGTGTGCGTGTGTGTGTGTGTTTTCACGGCTTTAACAGCGTTGAGCTGATGATTATCGGTGATGACAGTTTTG